AGTCCTGGCAGATGGACAACCGCGCAGCCACCATGGCTCGTGATGAGTTCGATTTTGGTTTTGCAGTCAACTGGATGCGTAAAGATCTGGGTATCGCATTACGCACGGGTGATGGGCTGGGTGCGCGCATGCCGCTTACCGCGCTTGTCGATCAGTTTTATGCAGATGTGCAGGCGCTCGGGGGCGGGCGCTGGGATACGTCCAGTCTGCTACGTCGTTTTACTCAGGATTGAACGATCTGCTCAAGCGCAGACCGTTCATTTACACAGGGCTGATTTAACGCTTATCGATGGTTTTGTAGTCCCGCTGGGCGTAACCTTTGTAAAGCTGTCGGGGGCGGCCGATCTTGTAAGGTCCGCTGATCATCTCGTTCCAATGCGCAATCCATCCAGGTGTACGTCCGGTCGCAAAGATGACCGTAAACATTTCCACTGGAATACCAATCGCTTTGAGAATGATGCCTGAATAGAAATCAACATTAGGGTAGAGGCGCTTGCTGACAAAGTAGTCGTCCTCCAGGGCGATTTTCTCCAGAGCCTGGGCCATTTCCAGAATCGGATCATCCTGCACACCCAGCTCTTCGAGCACTTCATGACAGGTCTGCTGCATGACTTTGGCGCGAGGGTCGTAGTTCTTGTACACCCTGTGACCAAAACCCATGATTCTGAACGGGTCATCTTTGTCTTTGGCTTTCTTGATGTACTTGTCGATATTATCAACGCTGCCAATCTCATCAAGCATGTTGAGCACAGCTTCGTTGGCGCCGCCATGTGAAGGCCCCCATAACGCTGCAATTCCTGCGGCGATACATGCAAAAGGGTTGGCCCCGGTGGAGCCTGCCAGGCGAACTGTAGAAGTCGAGGCATTCTGTTCGTGATCCGCATGTAACAGAAAGATGCGATCCATAGCCTTGGCAAGGGTTGGACTGACTTTGTATTCCTCACACGGGGTGGCAAACATCATATGCAGAAAATTTTCCGCGTAGCTGAGGTCATTGCGAGGATAGATAAACGGCTGACCCAGGGAGTATTTATAGCTCATCGCCGCCAGGGTAGGCATTTTTGCGATCAGACGATGCGCGGTAATGCGGCGGTGTTCCGGATTATCGATATCCAGAGAATCATGGTAGAACGCCGACAGCGCGCCGGTGACGCCACACATGAT